GGAATCGTATCTTGGGGTTTTCATGATCCCCTGAAAATGTGGATTGTTCGCAGAAAGAACGGCAATACGGAGCTCTACAAGGATTGTCATGATTTTAACTCTTGGACCAGGGTGGATCTTTCAGAGCTATCTCAATCTCCATTCTCAAACCCGACGGATAATCAGCAAGCAACTAACTTCAAGCACTTTCTGGAAGATCAAGTAAAGAAGGGTTTTCCGGCTATGAAGACTGCTGAATCTGTGATAATGGATCATCATGACGTCATTGATCCCAAAACTGGTAATCCACTCCAGGTGGTGATGTGGCCTGCTACAAATCAGGTCAAACAAATTCCCGTGCTTCAAGATTACCCGGATGGATCCTTAAGCTCTATGCTCTACTGGGTATTTGATGAAACCACAACATCTACTGTCATCAAACTTAAGGAGGGGTGCATTCGTTTGTATGATAGAAGGGATTTGTTTCATTTTAGAAAATGGGACATTCATCATTTGAGCCATTTTTAGATCCAGGTTGCTGAGGAGATATTTGAGTCTGCCGCGAAAGAATACACCACTATGGTTGCTGAGATTATAAACAAGCGGATGTGGGATGGAGCTATGGGGCTGGATGATGTGATGATCGTGGACAAAGATTGACTTCAAGCTAGCACCAAACCAAGGGGGAGATTGAAGGGTCTAATTAGTGGTTTGGTCTAAGCTTTCTATGTAATAAGTTCTTTTGAGTCAATTTATAGCTTGTGGTAGATTGTGTGTAGTTTACGGCCCAACAATGAGTTTACGGCTGTAAGCCTGTTTACGGTCGTAAACCCAAGGCCGGCCCAGGTCCAGTATATATAGAGGTGTGCAAGGTTTTTTGTCAGTTGTTGATGCCTCAGAGTTCACGGCTGCTTTCACCACAAGTTGTACCAGACGTTATTCCTAATAGAAAAGCGTGTGCAAGCTTGTGTTCATTCTTAATTCTTCTTGTTCTTTATTGTTAATTGATTGTGCTTTGCTATTTGATCACTGGTAAGATCCGTTTCAGGACCTTACATTTTCCTTCTGATGGGCCTCCACATTCTTAGCTGCTTGAACAACTATTTTCAGAGTGGTTGTCATCTTGACTGTCGGGCCAAAATCGGCAGGCAGTCCATTAGCAAACCTCTCAATCTTGGAGAGTTCCGTTGGCACTAGGTACGAAAATAACTTCATTTCCTCAGTGAATGCAGTAGCATAGTCGTCTATGCTTATTCTCCCCTTCTTTAAGTTTTGGAATTCATTGTTCAGATCAATCAGATCTATCTCTGAACAATATTGCACCCTTAGTTGTTCCAAGAACTCCTCCCATGACATTTTCAGGGCTTCTCCTCATGGCATAGTATCTGCCAACAACTTCCACCAGCTCAAGACTCCGGTCTTCAGTTGTCTAACTGCAAAGACAGTCTTCTGTTTGTTGCTACAGTCGCAACTTTCAAATACCATCTCCATTTCGGAGATCCAATCCATAATCTCAACAGGCTTTGGGCTTCCAGAAAGACTTGGCGGCTTGGCGCCCAAGAAATTTTTATACATTCGCCCATCCTTGTTGTTTCCCCTTTCCGGGTCGTTCCTTCGTTCTCCTTGAGTCCCAACTTGACTCACAATGCGACTATTGTTCCCTTCCTCAGGTTGTTCGGGAATCAGCTCGTGTTGCTCAATGGGCATGTTAGGTTCGTCCCTATTTTCATGCAACATCTGTCGCATTTCTTCCCTTTGTTCGGCTAACATAGCCTGAATCATGGCTTGCACTCCAGCCATGATAATTGGTTCTGGTGTTGCTGCTACAACAGGTGCTTGCTCAATCACAGGCGGTTGATTACTGTTTTCATCTACGTTTCCAACGCCACTTCTGGTTCTTACCATTTTTGATCTACACACCGAATAAGGTGAAATTAGATCCTCATCCATGATAGATATTAAACTTCTTCCATATCACTCCGAAACGTTCACATGCTAGTTCTAATACCGTAATCCTACGCTTAGAATCCTACACACATAAGGTTTCCTGATCCGGTCGGCAACAGACCATAGATCCGAACAAATAATATCATATATGGCAACATATAACATTTAGCACATAAAAGCATTTTAGGCAGCTTCCTAAAATATACTAGTGCTCGTGTCTATAATATAACAGACACACATCTCACAATCTCCACTTAGCATTCTAAGTTTAAGTCTAGAAATCCTACAAATTCCTAGTTCGCTTAAACTAATGCTCTGATACCAACTGTGACATCCCCAAAATCACGTCCAGAAAAGACCGGTTTCATTTATGCTTTTAAAATAGTTTCAGAGTAAATCCATTGATTTTAAAGAGTTGCGGAATTTGTTCCCAAAACAAAATATGATAAAATAAAGTTTATCAAAGCATTTCATCAAGAGATGCATTTTCATTATATAACAATATTCGGGATGTCATGTTCCGATAAACAGACCAAAAGCATAAACAACAAAAGATAGACCATACAACAATTACATATAACAACTGGTCTAATATCAAAAAATCTTGATAAGTCATCCAACTTATGCTCTCGCGCCACTACCTGTAATACAACAAAACTGAGTAGGTCAGGCTTGGGAGCCTGGTGAGCATATAGGGTTTTTAACCCACAATAAATAATTATATTTAATTTCACCAACCAACAATAACCCGATTACCCATTCCCGTTATCCTCACTTTACGTCCCTAAAACAACATCTATTATAAGGGACCTAGTCTAGGAATTTCATCGGGATGGACTTTACCGCGAGGTGTTTCCTCGGCAATAAAAGTCCTAAGACAACCATGAGGGGCATAGAGTACACCGGTGAACACATCGTTCACAACACCTACAGGTTATGAGCCTGCTAGCGTTCCACAAGACTGTCTAGAAAGAGTCTGTGGTCGTTATCCATACTCCGCTGAATAACTTTACATGACAATCGACCCTTAGAATGGTAGATCTAGTGTTTGGGGTGATGGATCTGCCTTAAATCGACTGAATGAGTAATCTGATCGAGGGGACTCGCCGAGTTCATGGTCGGACTCGACGAGTCGGTGATGGTTTGTCCCGATGGGTTGACTGAGTGATAACTTGGCAAGTTGGGGGTCAAATCGACGAGTTGAGCTGGACTTTTGAGACTTCTGAGGATATGAGGGGACTCGACGAGTCGCACAAGTGCACTCGATGATTCGGGTCAAACATGGACTGTCGACTCGAGTTTGACTTCTGTTAACTTTGGGGCTTTGGTCAACATGAGTAATAGAGACCATGGAGGGGTAAAATGGTCTTTTATCCACTTCAAAGAGTTGAAGAGAGGAAGAATAGCCTTCGGTAATTAGAGTATTACTTAGAGATATTCATCCCTTGTGTTAGGCGGAGGCTAGTTCGAGATTCGGGAGCGAGGTTATTTACTTGTTGCTTGTTAGGTGAGTCTTCTCACTATACTTTACCTAGAGTGGTGATCAGAGTTGTGTGACAGAGTACCTTATATGCTATTTGTATGATGTGATACACTGCATTATTTCTATGTGATTTATGCTATGTATGATTCAGAGTTTACAGAGTTAGGACCGGAAGGTCCACAGAGTTAGGACCAGAGGGTCCACCAGAGTTGTGGGACTGGAGGGTCCCACTGAGACACATTGACCAGAGGGTCATACAGGGTTATAGCCTCGAGTGGCTAATTGTTTACCTGTGGTAATTTGGGGAACTCACTAAGCTTCGTGCTTATCGTGTTATGTGTTATGTGTTTCAGGTTGTTCTCAGGATCGCGGGAAGGCACCAGCTTGATTGTACACACCAGTGAAAGAGTTACGTTTTTGAGGATCCTGGATTTTAACCGAGCAATTATGGAATTTTGAGTTGTAAACTTAATAAATGAGATTCTTGTGAAATACATTAATGAGAATTATGTGATTTTAAATGAAAATTTTGTTTTGAAAATTTACGGTGTTACAGCATAGAAGTATTCATGTGTAGTAGTCTTTGTACTATGAAATACTTTAAACTTGTATATGTGTGTAAACTAAAACCTTATGCATAAAAGTATTCATGGGTAGTAGTCTTTGTACTATGACATACTTTAAACTTGTATATGTGTGTAAAGCCTTATGCATAAAAGTATTCATGGGTAGTAGTCTTTGAAACTATGAAATACTTTAAACTTGTATATGTGTAAAACCTTATGCATAAAAGTATTCATGGATAGTAGTCTTTGAAACTATGAAATACTTTAAACTTGTATATGTGTGTAAAGCCTTATGCATAAAAGTATTCATGGGTAGTAGTCTTTGAAACTATGAAATACTTTAAACTTGTATATGTGTGTAAAGCCTTATGCATAAAAGTATTCATGGGTAGTAGTCTTTGAAACTATGAAATACTTTATATTTGCAGCATGCATATCATATAAGACTTATGTATTTATGTCATAAATACTATATAGCACATGTATTCTCCCCCAAAACGAATAAATATAAAAGAGGGGCCGTAACTCTCACCTCGATATGTGGTTAACTAGTTGTTTTCGAGGATTGGATGCGAGAACCGGGATGTGTTGTTGTGAATTTGAACTTCCGGGATTAGCTTAGTCTTGATGATTGAAGGGACTATAGAAATATCTAATGATGATGGGACGCATCCAAAGTGGCAAAAATTCCGAGGTGCAGAAGTTCCGAGGTGAAAAGGTTCCGAGATTTGTTGAAACTCCGAGACTTGAAAAATCCGAAACATTAAAAGTTCCGAGATGGGCATAAAATCCAAGGTTAGAAGGTCCGAGATGAGAAAAATTTGAACTTGATGGAAATTCCGAGGTCAAAAACTCAGAAAATGAGAAAAAGTACGAAACTGCTAAAATCCGAAGTTGGACTTCGAAGTGGTAGAAGATCCGAGGCTTAGAAGAGGATCCGAAGTGGGGAGAGAATCTGAGGCTGCTGAGTCCGAGACTCCGAAGGGTCCGAGACGGAGAGAAACTCCAAGACTGCTGAGATCGAGATGAGCAGGCTCCGAAACTCAGAAGGTTCCGAGACAGAGGAAAACTCCGAGACTGCTGAGTCCGAAGTGAGCAGGTCCGAGACTAAGAAGGGTCCGAGATAGGAATGAGTTCCGAAGCTTCTGAGTTCGAGATGGGAAAAACTCCGAAATTAGCTTGTTGTTTTCAGTTTTCTTCTCCTGTTTCGAGTGGGTTTCAACAAAATGAAGGGTTAGGATGATACGGTTGTTTAAGGAAGATGTTTTAAGTGTGGTGAAGAGTAACTTAGGATAGTGGACTCATTTTGTGGGTTGGTTACTGAGAGAGATTCGGGAGGGATTTACAAGATCTTGGGAGATATTTAATAGAGATTTGTAGGAATTATTGAGATTTTTTAGAGAGGAAGAAGTGAGAGAGATTTAAGAGAGGAATAAGAGAGAGCGGAGATGGTGAGTATTGAAGGAGGAGGTGACCTCTATTTATAGTAGGAGGGAAAACAATCCCTGACCAAGGAGGCCATACCCTCCAAATCCCATCATGCACTATTCATGTACTTTGGGGTGGAGTGTAAGCAAAAGGAAAGAAGAATGGGGGGATAAGCACGTGGGAAATCAGGGGAAATGGCTGATGGTTTATCCTTCCAAATCTAATGGGTCCCACTCCAAAGTTTGCATCCTCTTTATTGGCTTATTAGTACCCATAGTCGGGTACGTCGGGATCCGGATGTCGAGAATATTTTTCGAATACAACGATGGATTGAATTTAATTCAAGGATTTCAAAAACCCAAACATATTAATTTTTGGAGTTATGAAACTCCGGGAAATCGCGTTCGAAGTTTTGCGTCTAAACGACTCACGATGTCCGTTTTCGTGACTTTTGTAAATATTTTTACTAAAAATATTTTGAGTATGAAATTAAATACTAGACTATAGTCTGATTCCAAAAGCGCTCTCAGAAATTTTGTCGTCAATGCGTAAGTACCTCAACGGTGTTAAATAGTTTACCTAAAACAGGTAAAACTAGTGTTATACCAGTTTGGTTTCTTTAAATTGTCGTATCTTTTGCATACGAACTCCATTTTGGACGTTTTTTATATTCTCGGAAACAGGAGAATACGTACTATGAGTATATAATAATTGCTTTGCTCAAAACAGCTTATTGCGAATTTTTAGTTTTTAGACGCCCTGACTAGGGTTGTAGTTTGAACTGTTTGATTCGTTCGTTAGTTTACATATTTGGAAGTAAATTTTCATATGGTATCTCATAGCAGTTGAAATGAACTCCTTTATTTTGTAAAAGATGCACTAAAACTCAATGATTCGAATTACAACGAGTTTCACGGTGAATTGGTTGTCTATAATTTTAGCCCTAAATTCCAGGATGTCACAATTATAAAGAAACCATAATTTATTTTAATAATTTTAACTAATGTTCATAATATTTTCATTGAAGATATTTGAAAAAAAGTTGATTTGTACACAATATTTTTTTTCATACACATCATTTTATGTTTTAAAATATTATATTGTACAACTCTATAAAACATAAATTTTTTTATACGAAAAAACTGTTGTGTACAAATCATTTCACTATTTAAAAATAGTTTAGTAGTTCGTTTTTCCTCAGGAAAATTACTTGTTAAGGTAATTATATTTTTGTTTTTGTTCATATTTAGACAATTGTTTTTGTAAACATTTCATCATTTAATTTGTTAAATGACTTCACATATTACCATTGTTACCTGCTATCTCATGTGACAATTTTAAAACGTGAAAAATATTTAACAAGTTAAATTATCAAATATATATAAAAAAAGAAAGTTGTCTAAGCGTGAACATTTTTTTTTTATAAATTTCATAAGACTTTTTATAATTTATTACAACATTTGAAAGATACTTTTTTTCTTATATGTTTTTCTAATACAATGTTTTAAACTTAGCTTATAAGCTTTTTTTTAAAACTTTTTTTATACTTTCATATAACTGCTTTTAAACCAAATATTTTTCTAAATGTTTTAAACCTTTCTTACAAGTTTTTAAAATTGTTTTTACATTTTCATACAACTCTTTCTAAACTTTCTTTTACAACATTTTTAAAACGTTTCATAGATTTTGTATAACAATTTAATACTTTTTTTATTACATTTTAAAATACTTTCATTAATTACAAGTTTAGAACGTTGTATTAAAAAAAATTAAAAAGTTTATAAACTTCTAATTGAAAAGTATAAAAAAGTTATAATAATTTTAAAATATTTACATTATAATTTATTTTGTTTTTTATTTGGTATGTAATATTTTCTTTTTATTTTTTTAAAGACCTTACATACTTATTGTTACGTATTTAATTTATTTAATTTTATTGTTAGATAATATTTACTTTAAAAATATTTCATATGCTTAAAAACAAGCGAAAAAATTATAAGAGACTATATAAAATGTTTCACAAAAATAAAAAAATATTTATTAATTAAAAACAAAAGTTTAGATTTGATCAATGATTAATTAATATTTATGATAATAAGCTTTTACTAAAAATAAACTAAATAAAATATTGATTTGTCAAATCAAAATGCTATAAATAGAATAAATAATCAATAATTATTGATGCTTTAAGAATAACACTTAGAAAAATAATACAAATAAATATGAAAAATAAATTCTTTATTAAAAGTTGGGAAAATTACTTATCAGTATAATTAATTTTTTGTTTTTTTATATATTTAGATAATTTCTGTTTTTTGTTTTTATACATTTGACCATTTAACTTGTTAAATATGTTCACATGCTATTATTATTACCTGAGATACAGAGTAACAATGATAACTATAAACACATTTAAATATTTAACAAGTTAAAGGATCAAATATATAAATTCTTTTTGTCTAAATATAAAAAAAATAAAAAAAATGATTACTTGAGAGCATCTCCAACTCACTCTCATTCTCCATAATTTTCTCCATTTATTTCCCCATTCATCTCCAACCATACTCCATTTATTCCCCCATTTTGGGAGAAATGAATAGTATAACACCATATTTGGTGTTATAGTATTCATTTCCCCCAAAATAGGGATGAACTTTTAATCGTCGGTTTTACTCTATTGTTTTATATATTTATACATTTGTGGTTTTTTATCTACTAATAATTATTTAATAATTATAATATTGTGTTATATATTAAATTATATTAATTAATAATAAATATAAAGTTTGTTTGTTGTTTAAAAAACTCATATTAAAATTTAAATACATATTGAAATTTTAAAACACAATAACGTATTTTACAAAAGCTTATAATTACGTATTATAAATATAATCTTATTTATTTAATATTATTGTAATTAAAAAAAATATAGATTATATATCTGTTAAAACCAAATTAATAGAAAGAGTTTGTATGACAATTTGTATAAGTTCGAAGAATAGAATATACTTTTCGGAGGTAAAAATGAAGTAAAAAATGGAATAGGGTTTGAGATGAAACACTATTTATCCCATTTTTTATTCTATTTTTTAGGGAAAAATAAAAATGGGTTGGAGATGCCTCCTTTTTCATATGTCAATTGTCTTCTTAGGTCTTTCCCTTATTTTTGTTCCCCAGTCACAAAACTATGCAACTTTCTTTTTTATAGTTTTAATCTAAATATTATTATTTATTTATTTTTACCAATTTGGTGCAGTTTTTTTATTTTTTTCTATACTTTACTTTCAATTTGTTTTTATGTTTTTTAAACTTAGATATTTTAGAAAAGTATTATTTCACAAATTTTTGTTATTTTCTACGGTTGTACTTTTATGAATTCATATTTAAAAAATTATATTTTTACAACTATTTTGTATATTTTAAAGATCTGTTGTCATGTTTATGTATTTAGAATTGTAGAAACATATAAAATAATTTTTATATATTTGTTTTCACATTAGGAAAATCTCTAGAAAAGTCCTATAATTTTAGTCTAATTTATGAAAAAATCCCAAACTAATTTTTGTTTACAGAAAAACACAGAATACCGACTTAAACTTTGAAAAACCTCTTTTTGGCCGGTTTCGTAGATTTAGCCGGTATTTTGTCATTTTTCATTAGTTTGCTCAAAATATTATGATTTTTCTGAAAATTACTCGATAACCAAAATATCGGGACTTTTCTGAAAATTACTATGAAATTAATGGATATTATTATTAACAAATCATTTATAAACATAAAAAATATTTTTATTATAAACAAATGAAATACATTTGTTGTTAATTTCTAGGTATAGAATGGTCGACTATGTATTTCTCTATTGTTTGTTGGCCACTTCAAAGTCTCTATGTTCCTCTTATGTATCGTTGTGGATGTAATAGTGAAAATTACATTGTTAGGCGTGATCAATACAAGATTTGATAATACTTATTAATACACAATCAATAAGTGTCTACTTGCTATTAGGCGTGACGCTATATGATCACACATTATTAGAAAATATCATTATACAATGATTCTTGCACATATAGATCTTTCATTATGTTCTTTATCCTAACTACCACATAACCTCCATACATTACCTGGTAACAACCATCCATTTACACACATCTATCGAGAGTGGAAAGTAAACTTTGAATGACAATTTAAATAGATAATCGCCTTTCACTGGTTTCCATATAAACTATCATTCACGGTTCACTTTTCACATTTGATAGATGTGTGTTAGCTGATGGTTGTTAACATGTGAGGTATGGATGTTGAGTGGTAGTTAGGTTAAACTACAAAAGAGAAACACCAGCATTAGAGGAACACTAACTGAGTGCATCTCACCATCATATCTACAACAATGCATAGGATGAACGTAGAGAGTTTGAGTGGTCAACAAGCAATAGATGAGTACTTAGACCACCAATTTATTCCTAGAAATTATGTATCATCCCGAGATTTCGCAGGTATTTCCGAACCCTCTTCTATCATTACTTTGTCATTTATAGCCCTTAGGGTTGGAAGTGAAGATCCAAGATAAGTTTAAGGGCCAAGGTTGCAACCTTGGGCCAAGAAGGAGTACGCTGCGCGTACATAAGAGTACGTTAAGCGTACCAAGGTCCGCCTTAGTACGCTGGGCGTACACTTGTGTACGTTGGGCGTACTAATGTCAGGATGAAACCCTAATATTTAGGGTTTGGGGGCTATATAAGCAACATTATGAGCACCTAACCGTCCCTTACCTCAGCCTCCACTGCTTAGAGTCGTTTTCCCCAAACCCTAGCCATTTCTTTGAGTGTTTGAACTTATTGAGTGTTTCTTGAGTGTTTTAAGAAGAAGGTGTTGCATCAAAGAGTTGGAGAAGAAGATTAAGCTTGTAGATCTGAAGTTGGTTTGTGCCCTAGAAGCTCCAGAAGGTAAAAAGCTTCAAACTTTATACATGCATCTCATAAATCTTGTCATTATTGCTTTAAAGAATCATTCCTTGTCCCAAAAGTCCCAAGGTGGTGCATGATGTGACTTGGACGAAATGAACTGTCCTTCTAGACTCTTAAAGGGGTTTTGAATGATAAAAATGAGGTCCCAATGGATTAAGATGTCCCATGCATGAAGTAGGAGGGTCTTAATGGATTAAGACCAAGTATTAAGAGCTTTCTGGACGTCCAAAGATATAAAGTTCATGACTTTATGGGTCCTAGGCACATTTGGTCACTGGATCTGAAGTTTGGGCTTAAGTGCTTAAGCCATTAAGCACTTAATAAGTTTTTGGCAAACCACTGCGTACGCCTAGCGTAAATCCAGTACGCCCAGCGTACTGGGTCAACCACCCCGATGGTGGTCAACATCTGGACGAGTATGCCCCGCGTACGTCCTTTGTTGGGCCTTTGACATTTGGGCTTCGAGTTTTGGGTTGTTCATGGACTAGTCGAATTAGGGCCTTTGCTGGACTTTATGAATAAGATGTGTTAGGCCAAGTTTTGATAATGGATCTTGGGATTAGGCCCAATTAGGGAGTTGGGGCCCAATTTGGTAAATTGGTCCAATAATGGGCTTTGCATAAGGACCTTCAAGGTTATGGACTTGGCATTGGGCCTTGGCCAAATAAAGAGAATGGACATGATGGATTGTGTGGACCACTAGTCAAGACTGTTATGTTGTGTATTGACTTGATATTTATTGTGTGAGAGTTCGGGATTTCCGGTGAGACAACGATCAGAGGTTTTCGGTACTTCGGCACTACTTGCGAGGTGAGTTACCTCACTATACTAAGGGGTCTAAGGCACCAAGGCCGGCCCATTGGATATGATATCCTAACAGTTGTTAGTATGTTGAGTATGAGTTAGTGTTGCATGCTAGTTGCTATGCCAGTTAGGTAGATCTGTAGGACTACCTGTGTTATTATGTGATTATCTGTATGCGCATTAGTTGTGTTATATGTCGACATATTATGTAAGATGGGTTGAGGTGATACTGCTTCGTGCAGTAACCGACAAACCCGAGAGCATTCCAGATATGAGCTGAGGGTCAGGTGGGGCATGCCAGACTCGTACTGTGGGCTCGGGAGCATTCCAGTTACGAGCTGAGGGAGACTCGTACTGTGGGCTCGATAGCAATCCAAATGTGAGCTGTGGGCCCGGAAGGCAATCCAGACTCACACTGTGGGCCCAAGGTGTAATCCAGTCTGTAAAGCTGTGGACCTAGTACGTGCTGTTATTTGTATATGTGTTATGTGCAGTGTATCAGTATTTTGGGGGAACTCACTAAGTCTCGGACTTACAGTTTCAGTTTATTGTTCCAGGTACATCAGGGGATCGCGGCAAGGCAAATGCATGATCATACAACTCCTCATATTTATGTTTATGTTTCTGGGGTACTCTGATATTATACATTTTGAAAACAAGTTTTGTAATGATTAATGACTTATGAAATGTTTTTAAAAGTTTAAATTTGGCATGATTTTTATAGGTGTTAAAAATTAGCAATAAATATATTTCCTTTTTTTATAATACAAATGTTTTTTATGTTTATAAATGATTTGGTAATAATAATATCCATTAATTCCATGATAATTTTTAGAAAAGTCCCAATATTTTGGGTATCAAGTAATTTTTGGAAAAGTCCTAAAATAATGAGCAAACTAATAAAAAAGGACAGAATACAGGCTAAATCTGCGAAACCGACCGAAATGAGTTTTTTCGAAGTTTTAACCAGTATTCTGTGTTTTTCTGTAAACAAAATTTAGTTTGAGATTTTTTCATAAATTGATCTAAAATTTTAGGACTTTTCTAGAAATTTCCCTTTACTCTAAACATAGAATCCGTTTTTAACAAAGATCGTTGTTTCCCGATAACCCCTTTGTAAACGCCGTCGACAGCTAAGGCTACTTTATTTTCAAATAAATAAATTCGATCCAAATTCACTCGACTTGAATTGTAGCCCGTTTTCATCTTATTAACTTGACCCGTTAATATCTAGGGTTTATGTTTTATTTTGCTGGCCATAAACCTCCTCCCACTCCTCTCTGTCTGCCTACTGAACGATTTCAATGGGTTCTAAAAGCAAAAGCAAGAACAAAAATGGGGCAAAGAAAAATCCAGATGCTAACAAGGCGGTAGAAGTCGCCGGAAACCGCGAGTAATCACAGACGACAGGTTTGAGCTATCGCAGAAGGATCCTAGGTTTCAGGATGTGCTGAAGCACAAAACAAAGGTGGCGATTGATTCGCCTTTTAGTCGTATGTTCACTGATAAGAACTTCTCTACTTCTTCTGCTTGTGTAGATAAGCGAGGCAGAGCTAAACAAGATGGAGATTCATTTCAAAGTACTCTTAAACACTATTATTGAATGGACGATGAAGAAAAGAAACAGCAAAAACAATCTGAGGATTCGGATGACGATGACGACGTGGAAAGCGACAAATAGAAGGAAGAATATGAGAGCGATGATGCCGAAATTCTGAAGGCAGTTAAGCAAACATCGTCTAAATTCAAATCAGCGCCGGAATTGGAAACGGAATCCTCGGAAGAAGAAGAAGAGGAAGAGGAAGAGAAAGAAAAAGGTGAAGAGGATACTACAACGGATACGGATGAAGATGATGAAGCTTATCTAGAGGAGGAAACTACTGGTTTGCAGGTGAATCTCATTTATAATATTCTGTGCGATAGTTTTTCCAAAAAAATGATTATACTAATTTTCTGTTGTGGTTTCTAATGAAAATTTTGAAACTTAAATGGAGATAGCTGGAGTAGAATGTACCTGAAATTGACAAAGAAACTCACAGGCTCGCAATTGTTAATTTGGATTGGAATCAAGTTCAGGTGAGTGAGATTCTTTGTTCTTTTGCATATACTCTGTGTGGAATCAACAACTGTTGAATGTTTATACAGAAGCACTAGGGTGCCACAGGGACAAGAAATTTGGTATAATTGATTATTTGTTAAAGTTTACTTACTTTGGCAAAAAAGGACCACTTTGCAATTTTGAAGACAAACTACATTAGTTTTAGCCTACATTTGACATACTAATGATGAGAGTAAAGATAAAACTTTTTTGGTAAAAGTGTGGAATTATACATAATTGGTTTCCAAACGTCAATATGGATTATAGTTTCACTCTATCTATTCAGAACACTTTTGAAGTACATGAACTTGTGAATGATTATGGCTTTTCTTGGAACTGTTTTCTCTGTAGTGTTCATATATGTAGACATGGTTTAGTTCTCTCGATCATTTCCTTTATAGCTATATAATCTTTCAATGTGGTCAACTTTGTGCATGTATTTCCTAAAAGCTTGAATCTACTATTATCTTATTTATTTACTGCTATGTTTTTTTGGCTTGTTTTATGCAAATTTAGCCTTGGTACAAGATATAGTTTCTTTATTATTGGTCTACTAGGAAGAAAATGTGATTTTTTGAGGGTGCAGCAGGGTGTTACTTCTTTGTCCTTCAATTATTGACCAAGAATACATAGGATTGTGGCCATCTCAAAATTCATAACAATGATAAGGCTAAAATCTTTAAGTAGAATACAATTAATCATTCCACTTTATAATTTGGACATGGACACATGAGGTTGAAGTTAAAGAAGGATAAGTGATGAATGAAGATAATTTCTGTTTTGGACTTACTTGTTCTATTAATCTATCCTTTGCTTTCTTTATCTGTTGTGCAGTCCCTAAACATTGCACTTTTTCTCTTCTTCTTTAGGCAGTTGACTTGTATGTTGTGTTAAGCTCATTTCTGCCAAAAACAGGGCAGATTTTGTCTATATCTGTATTATTCACTTCTATAGTTACAGACTTTTAAATTGTAGAAAAAGTGAAAGTAGGATGCTATATTTGGACAAAAGAACACTTTCTCAACTTATTTTTTTTTTTTTTTTTTTTTTCGTATCAGGTACTATTTTGCAGTGGTGGTACGCGATTCAGTTGCTGCAGCTGATTACATTTATAGAACCTGTGATGGAATCGAGTTGAAAGGTCATCAAATATGCTGGATTTGAGGTTTATACCAGACTCTATGGAGTTTAAACATCCTCCACGTGATGTTGCAACCGAGGTATTGTCATTTCTTCCTATTACAATACACCATTGTACTTTGAAAAATCTACTCAATTGTAGTTATATAAGTCGGTAGATTTTTGTAAGTATAGTGTCCTAAGAGCATCTCCAATGGTAAAGTTATACTTTGACTTAAAATTATTTTCACCTCATCATTCCATTAGCTTTAACCTCTAGTTAAACGACCTCTCAAATGGTTAACCTTTTCAAAAAGTTTTATTTATTTATTTTTTATTTTTTTTAAATTATAAATAATCAATCTCTACACCTCTACTTACTCTCACTTATTCTATTGGAGCAAGAAAGGAATTACAAGCAAGTAGAAAGAGCATCTTTTAGTGGAGGGGTAAATTAGGTATTTTTACTAATATAGTTTGTTATGTCAGATACTCAGACAGTATAAGCAGATAGTGGGGTAGGAGAGTGGATCATCTTTTCGAAATTGACCCGTTATTCTATTGGTGTTACAGGAGTGCAGCTTATGTGTGTCAGGTTGCACACAAGCAACATAAGGGTGATATGGAGAGGGAGGAGGAGAGAGAACATAATAATGACTCGTATGAACAAACTCAGGCTTCAAAAGTGGATTTAAAGAAAGATAAACATGAGATGTCAATGCTTCTCAAGTCTGTTAAAATGAAAATCAAAACAACTCCCGTTATTGCCTTCTTCTGATGCTAAGAAATCTAAGAGGAAAGGGTAATAATGGGCACAAATTTTCATGGGATTATTGTTTGTGTGAGATCGGTATGCAATTTTGTTTTTTTTTTCTTCAATTTTAATGTTATGGTTATAAAGTTTTGTATTCCTCACCATATTTATTTGTTTTGGATTCATTTTTAGAGGTTAAATGCAAGAAAAATAGAAACCTAATGTTTATTCTTATTGCAACATTAAAAAAGTGTTAGTAGGAGAGAGGGGATATGAATAAAATAAATTAAAAGTACAATGTTGGTAATATGGAAAGGAGTAGGATGTCATTCTACATAAATAAAAGTAGGATGGAACCCTACAAATGGTATAGATGTAAACCATAATCCATCTCAACAAACAAAACTCTCTCTCTCTCTCTATATATATATATATATATATATATATATATATATATTATATATATATATATATAGAGAGAGAGAGAGAGAGAGAGTTTTGTTTGTTGAGATGGATTATGGTTTACATCTATACCATTTGTAGGCTTAAGTTATTTTGTTAACACTATGTATTGTGTTATTGTATTAATCATTGTGGACCAATGAAATATGTAATATTTAAATGAAAATGATTTTCATAAAATAGATTTCAAATAAATGAAAAGGTCTTCACATTTAATGAAAAAGGATCAGGAAGGGTATATGTGTACATTTGCCCTCTCCATTAAAATAGGAAACTGCTCCATTTTCATAACTTCCCCCGCATAATCCCTACAACTACACATAAGTCCGGATTCCACTACTCTCTGTTTTGGAACACGAAATCAATGAAAATCTCCTATAATCAACCAAAAATAGCGGTAGATTGTGTTGTTTTCTTAGTATAAAGTGTTATAGTATTGAAGATTGTTCGAAAAAAAAGAAATTGCAGTAGAATGAGGAATACAAGGACGAGTTCTTTCAAATCGAAATTTAAGAACACACAAGCAACGATTTTGAATCTAGATGAAGATGATGATGATTTCGTTACTCCGTCTGGAGGTAATTTTTTTTTTAAAGTTTTTTTTAAGGTAATCGTCTGAGTACAGAACATTCTTTTGGAATTTTTGAAAAATGAAGTAGATGCATGTGGTTATGTTCGTTTAAGTAACAAATAACAAAAATCTGTAAAAATGGAGTATTTTTTTCATTAGGGTTTTCTGAAATTGGGCATTTACATACGAAGTTAAAATTTTTACTATACATAAATTGGTAATGTGATTCTTGAAGAAATTGTGTTTGTTATTGTGTATTTTGTGTGTGTTTTGTAACCGCGAGAATCGATGTTGTTTCTGTCCTGTATTTCGTTTAGAGATATGTTGTTGGGGTTGTGATGTAAGTCAGACTACATGATATTCTGTAAGAAGTAAAAGGTTAGTTATTGATTTGCATTCTTCCAGAATACTAACTATGTAAAACGGAGTGAACGTAGTTGCTGTTGTGGTAATTTAGGGTGTTAATGTTTTCTTTGTTATTGAAATTTTTTCTAATACTATAATGTTGTATTGTTTTAATTAATTTGGTATTTTTGTTTTTATAATTTGTAGTTTTATTTCTATTATTTTGATGTTGTAGTAAAGTTGTATGTATGGTGTGTATGTAATTCTAACATAATTAGTTTAATTAAATGTGTTAAATTCGTAAAGAATGTGTAACATGTGAAGGGGATGTAGTGGTTAAATAAGTCTAAGTCTCACACAATCTTTAAAAATTAATGTTCATATTGGGATTAATATTGGGTCTTTGTATATGTGTTTGTTTGTCTGTGTTTGTTATTGTGATCTGTGAGGCTTTAGTGTTATTGTAGTAAAGATGTGGTTTTAATTTTAACATAAAAAGTATACTTATGTTTATTGCGTTCTTACAGAATGAACAAAAGCAAAATTGTAATAGAAGCACTGTAACAAAATTGTGTTTGTGTACATTATACGTATTAGAATTCTGATAGAATTTACTCCTACTAATTATAATTCTAGTCGATTCATTGTAAAATAGTCAATGTAACACACTTTATGTGTGTCTATGTTATGCTAATTAGCATTCTAATAGAATTTGGTCCTAAAAATTAAAATTCTAATAGAATCATTGTTAGGGTATGTGTGTACATGCTTACATAATTGTAACAGAAGTAAGTGTATATTGGGGTCATACAGATTGGAATGTAACTGTTTAATATGGAGATTGCTATTAACTAAATGTGTATGTTTTTATTACTGAGAAGTCTGATGAATTAATTTTTTTTTTAGTATTTGGTTTTAATTCTTGTAGAAACATGTTTTAGATTTGTGTTTCATCCTTACAGAATGAAAAGTTGTATAATACTTTTAGTTTTTATAAGTAATGAAGTATGGCTGGTTACTTTGACAACTATTATTAACCAACGTTAATCATTCATTTCATTAGTTGTTGCAGAAGCTGATCCAGTCCCAATTAATGTTGATACTTCAAGCCAAACAAAGGTGAGAAGGAACTACCGTACCAGATCAACACCCGTTAAAGAGAATACCAGTACTCAACGTACATGTAGATTAAAATTTTTTGGTTTATGAAGGAAAATAACAATAATTTTAGAAAATGTTGATAGCCAATATGTATTAATTGTTAATTAATGAAGCAGAAGGTGGCGGAAGTGGACAAAATGATATGAATATTGTTGGATCAAGCAAAACAAAGAAACAGAGGAAAAAAACTTCAAAATCAGAACATGGAAAGAACAATGTTGAATGTGGTAAGACAGGTTAGATAATAAGTGCATGTAATTAATGAGTTCAACTATATGTTTCTGATATGGCTAATATAGAGTTTATTATTCTATTGAAGTTGTATTATAAAATTAGTAATTGTTTTTTTTGTGATATAACAGATTTTGACAAAGATAAGAAAGACACAATACAAATTGACAACACAAATGTAAGAAGTCTGAAAAGGAAGGGTTCTGATAGAAATACACCTGTTAAGGACAATAAGAAATCGTCGGATGCAAGTGGTGAAAGGAAAAAATCAAGAGGTTTAAATGAGATTTTTATGGAGAGGATTAGTGGGTCAAAGAAAAACAATGAAAAGGATAATATTGGTGTGGATATGGAAGATAAGGAAGATGTTGTAGAAAGGAACAAGGTGGTGCAAGATGCACATTCAAAGAAAGGTCCAAAAAGAAAGAAAGGAAAAGTAGAACATGAAAATGATAAAATCAAAACAATGGAGGGGAAGGTCAGAAAAATAAGCAAGGACCATCCAGAAGGTTATAGAAGACTTGCAACTAGGATGACTCCTGGAAGGATAAGTTCAGCTGTGAAAGTAATGTCACCCGCATAGAAAAATGGGATTGTGTCAATGGGTTGGTTCACTTCTTCATATTGACATAGACACTACTCCGGGTTTACTTAACTACTATCTGTTAGATCACTATGATCCAGATAGTAGCCGTCTAGTTCTGGAAAATATGGTCATAACAATTACGAAAGACACAGTGCATGAGATGTTGGGTTTACCAAATGCGGGGGAAGACTTTCTGAGGTTGAGTAGTTGTGATAAGGATAATGAAGTTCTGCAAGAATGGAAAGGCCAATACGACAAAAAAGGGTTCAATGGTGAAGAATACCTGAAAAGGATCAAAAACACAAAGCAAGACAGTCTTATGTTTAGGCTGAATTTCCTGACCCTTTTCATTAACACATTTGCTGAATCTACTTTGAGTGGTACAAATCAAATTAATGTTGTAAATAAGTTGGTGTTGGTAAAGGACTTCTCTAAAATTGATTGGTGCAAGTATATCCTAGATTGTTTGGTAAGCAGAAAACAACTGTGGAGAAGAAATGATAAGACATGCTATTACAGTGGACCTATACTAGTTTTGACGGTAATATTGTTGTGTATATTAAATATTTACTTTATTTTATGACAGTAATATCTATAATGAATTACTTAATGAACTTTAATCTTTTTTGATGTAGCTGGTGTATGTATATAGAATGAAGTTTACAGGTTTGAAGATAGTGAAAAGGTTACCGTTTGTTAGAAATGTTACTGGTTCTTTACTTGAGAAAATAGAGAAGATTGAAATTAGTGTTGGGGGGTTTGGTAGGCAGTTACCGGAAAACTTTGAGGATATTGGTGATGATGATGGAATGGTTGATGAAGATGATATGTTGGACGGGATGATGAGGGATTATGGTGACGAGGAGGTAAGCTATAAATTCACTAAGAATTCAGAACAATATTTCTTTCATAATTGTAAAAAATGATAGTTTAATATGAAACATAAATGCAGATATTGCTGATTTAAATCGAATGACTTGATTTATAGTTATTGATCTATTTGGAACATTAATTTTTTTTAGAATATTAATCATGATATGTTAATATAAAACTTACAGACATACGTGGCTGTTATCAAGCATAGCTATGGAGTAATATTGTCTGAAAAGAAGAATATTGAAAAAGCTCTAAAACATGGAATTGAGAAATTCCCAGACAGCTTGAGCTTGAAGGAGTGGTGTGAAAAAAACGAAAAATTGTTCAAAGAAGTTAATAATGCAGAGAGTGGAGGAATGAAAGACAAGGATCCTAGTTTTGATGGCCATAGTAACAAAGGAGATGCAGATGGTGGTAAAGATGTAACGCCCCAATTCTGGTATGTTATTTAAATATTTGTTTTTTTTTAAGTTTTCAAGAGGAACTCGACGAGTCAGTAGCCCGACTCGTCGAGTAGAGACGGGATTTTGAGCACGTTTAAGTTGGCTACTCGACGAGTCCGCCAGTCTGGAAGAAACCCTAATTTCAAGGGTTTGCACCCTATTTAATCAACTTTTGGGACCTCAAGTCAGCCCCCATCACCCCCCCAGAGTATCCTTCTCGAAACCCTAGCAATCTCTTAGCATTTTGTGTGTTTTGGTGTGATTCTTTGAAGATCTTAAGAGAAGAAGGAAGGTAGATCAAGAGGAGAAGAAGGAGATCCAAGATCTTTGTGGCATTTCAGAGTATAGTAAGGTATAACTCGCCCCTTTTCTGTTTCTATGCTTAAATCCCCATTAGACCACCATTAAAGCTATTCTTGAACCATTTCTTGGCTTGGTAGTAGCATAGAGGACACATTGAGATGAACAGCCTTCGGATCTAGCTATGATTGAGTTCCAGAAGCCTAGATCTAATACCTTTAT